CTTGCATGGAACCTGTAGCCCCTTTGTTGTGGCCAATTTCTTCCATTTGGAATGGGAACATTTATCCAATGCCTGTAACACCATTGTGTCTAAGAAGCAACTAACTGGATTTTGATTTTATAGGTTCATAGGTGGAAGGGACTTGCCTTGTCTCAGATAATACTTTGGATTTGAACTTCTGGGTTAATTCTGGAATGAGTTAAGACTTTGGAGGACTGTTCGGAAGACATGACTGTTTTGAAATGTGAGAAATACAAGTTTGGGAGAGGCCAGGGGTGAAATAGTATGTTTTGGCCTTTTGTCCCCACCCAAATCTCATCTCAAATTGTAATTCCCATGGGTCAAGGGAGGGACCTAGTGGGAGGTGATTGGATCACAATGGCGGTTCCCCCATGCTGTTCTCATGATAGTGAGTGAGATCTGATGGTTTTACTAGTGTTGACTCTTCCTCCTTTGCTGGCTTTCTTCTCTCTCCTGCCACCTAGTGAAGAAGGTTCTTGCATCCCCTTTGCCTTCTGCCATGATTGTAAGTTTCCTGAGGCCTCTCTAGCCATGTGGATCTGTGAATCAATAAAACCTCTTTCCTTTACAAACTACCCAGTCTCAGAGAATCTATAGTAGCGTGAATGTGGACTAGTACAGATATTGTTAGTAATCTAGAGATTATTTAAAGTATATAGGAGGTTATGTGTGGGTTATGTGCAATTACTACACCATTTTATATTCAGTACTTGAGCATCTGCAAATTTTTGTATTCTGAAACCAATTCCTCATAGATAGCAAAGGAAGACTATCTTTTCTCTGTTTTTATTCAGTCAATACAGAGCAATTCTTTTAGTAATGTATTTTTTTAAATATCTACCACTATCTTTATTAAGAGACTCCCTCCTTTGGAGTTGAATGACTAGTGTGGGAGCATCTAGATGTTTTATTTGTAAGGCCATAAATTTATTCTGATTTCTACTTTGTTTTTGTCCTAAGTTCTTTTCAAAGCACTCAGCAAAGAACTGGGAGTTCTGGCAGCAGTGTTGTTTCCCATTCTGGTATATTCTTATGTGTTAAATACCCAACTTCTGGCTTGGCATATTTATTTGTAAAAAAAAGTTAAAGGAGAATCAGGGTTGCATTTGGTTCAAGATCTTCTTCTAAATGGTGTTTAAAGGTGTAAAGACCCTATCTGTGATATCTCCAAAGAACTCATCCTTTCCTTGCTTCCGACTGGATTAGAATCTAATCTACCTACATAGAGAAGACTCTGGGTTAGACGCCAAAAGACCTTATCCAACATTTACAGCTTTTCTAAAGCCCTCTGATTTTCTGTAAAAGCCAGAGTCATTTAAGTCATTCCTGAGAGCTTCCAACCCTGTTGTTTCTACCCAGTCTTTAGCATGTGAGATTACCACTAGCACGTGAACTTATTGATAAGATTAGTAAGTCCTACATTATACATTCATAAGATAATTTTAAGTTCCTCTGTAAATTTCTCCCACTCCTGTCCGGGCTTTGAAAAGTCTTTTGACAATGGCTCTCAGCTAAGACTGAGACCAGGGCTTGAAATCAGCAGAAAAGGATTTTGTCTGTTCTGAGGGAAATTTAACTCTAAGTGACAATAGAGCTTAAGGTGATGCAGGAGAGTCTAGAGGGAGAAAGAGCAAATCAGAAGGGTAAATGGGGCAGAAGGAATGGAAGAGTATGGGATTTGGGAAGAGCAGTAGCATAAAGGCTATTACTAGGTTAAAATTGCCATTCAGGAGGATCTAAAGAGAGAAACTGTTTTAAGGTTATTTAAAATTTTGCTTTGGCCAAGTAATATGTTAGAAAAAAGACTTGGGAATCTGAATATTTCAGATGCTTTTTAATCAGCATTAAGAAATGAGGACCACTGGAAGTTCAAAGTGCTCCTTTTTTAACTGAACTTCTCAGTCCTCATGCCCTGCTTGAGGAAAGGGCTTATTTCAGTGTCTTTGCTTGTCCACTTCCCCATGAATTTTCTCTCCCTGATAGACAACAAATATGACAAGAACAGAGAGGCAAACAGCAGTGCTAGTACAAAAAGGCTTCCATCAACTACATACATTTTTTTTTACAATTTGGGCATCTAAGAAGAGTTTCTTAAACCTAGAAAACAAAATTATAAACTCAGAATCTGGGAGCTCAATGAAAAAGATCAACGTTCCAACCACTGCAAGCTTTATTCACCCCATTGATTAGGTCCTTATGACCTAATCACTCTTAAAGTCCCCATCTCTGAATATTGTGACAATGGCAATACATTTCAAGATGAGTTTTGGAACGGACATTAAAGCCAAAGCAGTTGTCAGAGTGAGTTCAGCCCTCTCTTGCTTTTTCTCTCTGTGTGTCTCTCTCTCCTTCCCTCTCTGTCTCCTCTCTCTCTCATGCTTTCTTGCCCTTCTGCCTTCTACCATGGGATGATGCAGCATGACCACCCTTGCCAGATGTGAGTCCCTCAACCTTACACTTCCCACCCTCCAGAACTGTAAGCAATAAATCTCTCTTCTTTATAAACTACCTAGTCTTAGGTATTCTGCTATAGCAAGAGAAAATGAATTAGGACAGAAAATTGGTACAGAGAAGTGGAGCTGTTACTATAACAAATACCTGAAAATGTAGAAGTAGCTTTGGAGCTGGGCAATGGGTAGAAGCTGAGAGAATTTGGAGGAGCAGGCTAGAAAGAGCCTAGATTGCCACAAATGAAGCATTAAGGGCAGTTTCGGTGAGTTCAGAAGAAGATAAAAATACCAAAAAAAAAAAAAAAAAAAAAAACCCAGAATGTCTTAGAGATTACTTAAGTGGTCATGACCAAACTGTGAGTAGAAACATAAATGGTAAAGACCGTTCTGATGAGGTATCAGACAGAACCAAGGAACAACGTATTGGAAACTAAAGTAAAGGCCATCTTTGCCATGCAGTTCCAAATAACTTGGCAAAATTGTGTCCATGTCCTAGGTCTTTACAAAATGCAGAACTTAAGAGAGATCAACTAGATATCTAGTGGAAGATACATCTATGCAGCAAAGCATTCAGGCTGCCAGGCTGCCATGTGTCTGCTTTTAACCATACACAGTGAGATGTGAGAGGAAGGAAATAACTTAAAGATGAACTTTACAATTAAAATAGAGGCAGAAGAAAAAGATTCAAAAGACTCAAAGCCTGGCCATGTAAAGTCTAAAAAAATATTTCAGGGAAAAAAAAAAATAAGGGTGTGGCCAAGAGACTGTTTGCTCAAGAGATTAAAATGGCTAGAAAGGAGCCAGGTACTATTCATCAAGACAATGGAAGAAAAACCCCAAAGACATTTCAAACATCTTTGAGGCTGCACCTCCCATCATAGGCAAAGCTCTAAGAAGGAAGAATGATTTCAGGGGACAAGCCCAGGGCATCCACCATGGGCTCACTGTCCAGGGCTGCCTCGAAACTCTGCTCCCACATTCCCTTGGCATCCCTCAGCCACCTTAGCCACCCCAGCCATGGTTCAAGTGGGCCTTAGTATATCTCATGCCATAGCCCTAGAAGGCTCAAGGATTAAATCCTGGTGGCATCCTTATGGTGCTAGTTCTGTAGGTGTGCAGAGTGGATGAGCTACAAAGCCACGGTGGCCTCCATCTAAATCTAAAATGATTTTATAAACAAGCTTGGGTACTAGGTAGAGGCTTGTCACTCGAGGCACAGCTACTGCAGAGAGCTCCTACCAGAGCAATGCCAAGCAGAAATATGTTGTCCAAGTGACCACAGAGAGTCCTCACTACGGCATTGTTCAGTGGAGCTATGGGAGCAAAACCACCTCAGAGACCCCAGATCTGTAGCAATACCAGCATGCAATGCTTGCCTAGGAAAGCTGCAGGCACAAGACCCCAATCAAAGAGGGCTCAAACATGAGCTGAGCCTAGCAGAGCCATGGCGGCAGGGCTGCCTGAGACCTTGTGGGCTAAAACCCCACCCCAGTATGCCCAGGATATAGAATACAAAGTCAGAGTGTATTATTACCCAACATTCTCCAGGGAAAAAGTTTTCTGTTAGGTTTTGGACTTACTTGGATTCAGTTACCCATTTTCTTGCCTATTTCTCCATTTTGGAATGGAATGGGAATGTCTTTCCTATGCCTGTCCCACCATTGTATTTTGAAAGTAGACAACATGTTTTTAGTTCACAGGCTCATAAATGGAGGAAATTTGACTCAGAATGAATCATGTCTTGAGTCTCACCTATATCTGATTTAGATGGACTCTGGACTTTGAACTTTTAAAGTTGTTGCTGAAATGAGTTAAGACTTTTGGGACCTTTGGGATAAAATGCATGTATTTTGTATGTGAGAAGGGTATGATTTTGGGAGGTCAGGAGTGGAAATGCCATGGATTGAATGTCCCCTTCAAAACCCATTTTGAAATTTAATTTCCATTATAATAGTATTGAGAGGTGGGACCTTTAAGAGGTGAGTACCTCTTGAATAAATTAATGCAGTTATCAGGAAAGTGGGTTAGTTCACATGGGAGTGGGTCCCTGGTAAAAGGATGAAGTTTGGCCCCCATTTGTCTCTCACACGTACTTGTCTTCTTGCCATGTAATGTCTTCCACCATGTTTGGATGCAGCAAGAAGGTCCTCACAAGACACAACCCCTCAATCTTGGACTTCCCAAGCTCCAGAATGATAAGCCGAATAAATCTCCTTTCTTTATAAATTACCCAATCTGGGGTATTTTGTTATTGCACCAGAAAAAGGACTATGACAATAACAAACCCACTCTCACAATGCAACACATAACACTGTTTCAGTCAACAACGTACCACAAACACAACAGTGGTCTCACAAGATTCTAAGGGGACTGAAAAGTGTCTATTGCTTAGTGATGTCTTGATGATTCTGACCCTGTGCAGGCCTGGTCTAATGTGTGTATCTGTGTCTTAGTTTTTAATTTAAAAAGTTTCAAGGCTGCTGGGTGAGTCGTCGTCTGACATCTGGCCGTGAGATGTTTCGGGAGCTGGGGTCTCTCCGCCGCAGACATGATGAAGGGTCTTGTTTTAGGAATCTATTCCAAAGAAAAGGAAGGTGATGTGCCACAGTTCACAAGTGCAGGAGAGAATTCTGATAAACTGATAGCTGGAAAGCTGAGAGAGACACTGAAAAAATCTGGACCACCTCCGAAGGCAGGCAAGACTCGAACCTTTTATGGTCTGCATCAGGACTTCCCAAGTGTGGTACTAGTTGGCCTCAGCAAAAAAGCAGCTGGAATCGACAAACAGGAAAACTGGCATGAAGGCAAAGAAAACACCAGAGCTGCCGTTGCAGCGGGGTACAGGCAGATTCAAGACCTGGGGCTCTCTTCCATGGAGGTGGACCCCTGTGGAGATGCTCAGGCTGCTGCAGAGGTTGCTGTGCTTGGTCTCTATAAATACAAGGACCTAAAGCAAAAAAAGAAGATGGCCATGTCAGCAGTGAAGCTCTATGGAAGCGGGGATCAGGAGGCCTGGCAGAAAGAAGTCCTGTTTGCTTCTGTGCAGAACTTGGCATGCCAGTTGATGGAGACACCAGCCAACGAGATGATGCCAACCAGATTTGCTGAAATTATTGAGAAGAATCTCAAGAGCGTTAGTAGTAAAAGTGAGGTCCACATTAGATCCAAGCCTTGGATTGAGGAACAGGCAATGGGATCATTCCTCAGTGTGGCCAAAGGATCTGACGAGCCCCCAGTCTTCTTGGAAATTCACTACAAAGGCAGCCCCAATGCAAACGAACCACCCCTGGCGTTTGTTGGGAAAGGAATTGCCTTTGACAGTGGTGGTATCTCCATCAACGCTTCTGCAAATACGGACCTCATGAGGGCTGACATGGGAGGAGCGGCAACTATATGCTCAGCCATTGTGTCTGCTGCAAAGTTCAATTTGCCCATTAATATTATAGGTCTGGCATCTCTTTGTGAAAATATGCCTAGCGGCAAGGCCAACAAGCCAGGGGATTGTTAGAGCCAGGAACGGGAAGGCCATAGAGGTTGATAACACTGATGCCGAGGGGAGGCTCATACTGGCTGATGTGCTCTGCTACGTGCACACATTTAACCCAAAGGTCATCCTCAATGCCGCCACCTCAACAGGTGCCATGGATGTAGCTTTGGAGTCAGGTGCCACTGGGGTCTTTACCAATTCATCCTGGCTCTGGAACAAACTCTTTGAGGCCAGCATTGAAACAGGGGACCGTGTCTGGAGGATGCCACTCTTCGAACATTATACAAGACAGGTTGTAGATTGCCAGCTTGCTGATGTTAACAACATTGGAAAATATAGGTCTCCGGGAGCATGTACAGTTGCGGCATTCCTGAAAGAATTCATGACTCATCCCAAGTGGGCACATTTAGACATAGCAGGCGTGATGATCAACAAAGATGAGGGTCCCTATCTACGGAAAGGCATGATCGGGAGGCCGTAAGGACTCCCACAGAGTTCTTACTTCGTTTCAGTCAAGACAATGCTTAGTTCAGATACTCAAAAGTGTCTTCACTTTCTGTCTTAAATTGGACAGTTGAACTTAAAATGAAAATCTTTCAGAGGAAATAAGGGATGGTATTTTAAAATGCAGGACACAATGAAATTTGTATGCCTTGATTTTTTTTCATTTTACACAAAGATTTATAAAGTTAATCTTACTTGGCAAGGATTTTTAAGATATTCTATAAATGATTAAAATATTTAAAACTTCTGAAAAAAAGTTTTAAAAGTTAAAACAATTAGAAATATTAAAAAGTTTATTGAATAAGGATATAAAGAAAATAGTCTTGTGCAGCTGTACAATGTTTTTGCATTTTAAGCTGTGTTATTATGAGTCAAAAAGCTTTTAAAAATTTAAATGTTTATAAATTTAAAAGCTACAGTAAAGGTTAATTTATTATTGAAGAAATAAAATATTTTTATAAAAATTTAGTGTATAGCCTAAGTGTACAGTGTTTATGAAGTCTACAGTAGTATACAATAATGTCCTAGGCCTTCACATTTACTCACCACTCACTCACTGACTCACCCAGAGCATCCTCCAGTCCAGCAAGCTCTATCCATGGTGAGGGCCCTAACCAGGTGTATCATTTTTATCTTTTATACCGTATTTTTACTTTACCTTTTCTATGTTCACATACACAAATACTACTGTGTTGCAATTGCCTATGGTGTTCAGTACAGTAGCATGCTGTACAGATTTGCAGCCTAGGAGCAATAGGCCTTATCATATAGCCTAGGTGTATAATAGACTAGGCTATACCACCTATGTTCATGTAAATACACTCTATTATGTTTGCACAACAAGTCAAATCACCTAACCACACATTTCTCAGAATGTATCTCCTTTGTTAAGGGGTGCATGGCTTAGTTGACTTGAAATTCAAACTCACAAAGTCAATTTTCAATAAAAAGTGTGTCCTATGGTCAGAGTAGCTTTGATATCATGAGGGGAAACTCCAAGAAGGCTACTCTGGCAGCCCCATTGTCCTATATCCCCAACCCCGTCACCCATGTCAAAGTTAGAATCTTACAAAGCTGCCTGACACCCCAACAACTGGGTCTCCTTGTAATATCTACCTGGTATTTTCCAGCTATGTCTTCCCACAAGCAATTTACAAGCTTTGTAGACTACATCACCATAATTTCAAAAACAGCAGCCTGTTTTTCTTAGCAAAGAAAATAGTGTGAGAGAGAGAAAAAAAGAGGGAGATTTTCCAAAGACTTTTTAAAAGCCAAGAATCAATTGTGTGATATCATGGAAACTTCGGGTGGTCTTCCCCCCATCTCCACCCCCATTCCTGACTTTCTGGCCCTAAGTACTCCTCACTTAAGATATCGTGAAGATCACCAGAAACAGTCTTGCAGATCATGCATGAAGCCTTATCTTTTCCTGATTATGCTCTTATTTCAGAGGTCACCCATCTACAGCGCTCCAGGAGGCTCACGGCATTAATGAATCCCTTGCTGAATTCACAGTAGCAGCTCTCAGCCCACACATTAGTGCCACTTAGACAGAGATCAGATTTCCTTCGTAAGCCAAAACTTCAATAACTCACAGATCAGCCAGCTGACCTCTCTTTCTGACTTCCAATTCAAATAGTGCAGGGGAAGAGGGAGTGTCTCATGGAGCAGAAAATAAAAAATTCCAACGCAATCATTTTCCTATTTTTAAATAGTCTCTAATCTAGTTTGTAAAGAAAGTGTTATTTGCTCCAAGGAGAATAGGGAGTTCTTTGCTCTGGGTTTAAACAGAGAATGCTTCTTAGGAGAGTTGTAAAAATGTTTGATGAATTTTTTCCAGTTAATAGCTGAGAGACATCAAGGGTCCATTTCTCTGAACATCAGAATTGCCTTTCTTGTTGTTTGAAACTTAGATGAACTATTGTGTTGGTAAACCTAAAGCCACATAAGTAACCATTTTAATAAGCTTAGGGGAATTATGTCAGGTTAAGAATGATTAAATAAGCTTAAACACCTAAGTGTCTAATAAGACTAGTACTGTGATTCTTTGCAATCAGATATGCATAAAGATGATAAAAGTGAATGGAGCCAGTTATGTAGCTGGAGAAATGAACCCAATCAGCTTCCTTTTCCAGAAAGAGAGGAAGAAAATGGCCCCTAAGAATATAAGTGGGCTCCTGTAATTCCAAGCCTTCCCCTAGATCTTTGTGAAGCTTGAGATAGCATGTATTTGTTATTTCCAGTGGGCTAGAAGGCGCACAATTTTTGTTTCTCTTTTTTGAGACAGAGTTTTGCTCTGTTACCCAGGCTGGAATGCAGTGGCATGATCTCGGCTCACTGCAACATCCACCTCTCCGGTTCAAGTGGTTCTCTTGCCTCACCCTTCCAAGTAGCTGGGATTACAAGCATGAGCTACCATGCCCAGTTAATTTTTGTATTTTTAGTAGAGACCGAGTTTCACCATGTTGGCCAGGCTGGTCTCAAACTCCTAACCCCAAGTGATTCACCCCTGCCTTGGCTTCCCAAAGTGCTGGGATTACAGGCATGAGCCAATGCACCTGGCAGATGGGGGCATAATTTGAAGATCACCAGAAACAGTCTTGTAGATCATACATGAAGCCTTATCTTTTCCTGATTATGGTTTGAAAGCATATGATTTGAAAGCCAGTCAAGGAAAATGGGCAGAAACTTCATCATGGGAAAGATGCTTTGCTACCTTCTGAGATTTGACTATACTATAATTGAGAATTTGCATTGGTCCTTGGGAAGGGTGTGTGTGTGTGTGTGTGTGTGTGTGTGTGTGCACGTGCACGCACATTGGGTGTGTATGTGGTGTTTGAGGTGAGGGGGTTCCAAAAATTACTAGCTGGAAAATCAGAAGAATGAAAGAGTCCAAGCTACAACTCACGCTGGTGTGGGGACCTCCAACAATACCTCATGTGGGTGCCGAGGACCACCATGGACTTCACCATGGAGCTTAGAGTATCAAGACTCAGCCAGCCCTACCACACCCCACTCTTCCCCAGACAGTGCTAAAAACACAATGCCTGAGGGCAACTGTGGACTTACCACTACAGCAACTCTCCAGGGCAATTGCTCTCAATAACTCAGACTTAGGAAATGGCCCTAATTGCTCCTGTGAGCAGAAATCTTCTGAGAGTTGGACACAGAGAACACAACAGAAGAAGAATGTACTCAGAGAGACCTTGACCTGGGACAAAGCGTTGGTGTTAGGAAATGGGGATTCCCACAGAGCCCAACAGCACCCCAAGAGTTTTAACTCCCTGGGGGCTTTTTCCTAGGGTGGGAATATTATTAAGAACAGCACAAAGTGCCTCCCTGTTAGTTATCCTGAATCCTGCACTGAAATCTGATGCTCAGATACAGCTTGGAATAGCCAGGCTTTGTGGCGTAAAGGAGAGAGCAGGGACAGGACACATGGCCTGCCTGTCTCCACCTCTCTGCTATCATTAGTGAGAACTGAGCAGTATCCTGGCAAGGGCTCTGTATCCTGTTGCTCCAGGCAGGGATCATGGCAACTGGGATTGGTAGAGGAACACAGAGTGCTAGTCATTCCTCCTGGGCTCTACCCTCCTCTCCAGCCCCTCCCATCTCTAACCCATTTTCTTTCCCAAAATCCTTGAAGGAGAGAGAGAACTGGAACTTTGTCTTTAAATTACTTATCATACCTTTAGAAACTTTTGAAACCATGTATCACTTTAACACCTTTTGATGGCTAACAAATGGTTCACTTCAATGCAATATGCAGACATAAGCAATGGTCTGGGATGCTTCTGATCCATTTGGAGATCCTGTTGGATTTTGCTTTAAAACATCACTGATGGCTGTCAACCTCTTCTCCATTGCTACCTCTCCCAGTCTCCCCATTTAGGCTTCATTATCTCATACCTAAACTACTGAAATATTCTCCTAATGAACTTTCTTTAGTCTCTCACTGTTGTAGAATCATCCTATATCTTACTGCCAAAATTTCTCAAAGTATCACTATACACACACACACACACACACACACACACACACACACACACAACCATTTTATCTCAATCTGCCTAGGACTTTCCTGGATCTAGCATGCAAGTCCCATGTCTCAGGAAACTCCTCAGTTCCAGGAAAACTGAGACAGTTCACTCTAACAGGTCAACCTAATACATGCGGAAGCACACATGTACTCTCTCTCGTTCTCTCAATCTCTCTCTCTCTCTTTCAGTGACTCACCATTGCTTGCAGTGCTTCATATGTAGAGAGTATTCAATTATTGTGGATGGATGGATGAATGGATGCATGGATGGATGAAAGGAAGGGGCTAATTCAGGGCAAAATTCATACTCATTCTACAACGTTTTAAAATGTAATGGAGGGGTGCTGTTTAGTTTGTTTTAACATTGCTTGGCTTATAAAGCAATTTTGCCATATTAGTATTCAGAATACTCTGCATATGTATCATATATTCCCCTCATGTCACAGATGAGGAACCCGATCCTTGGGGAGGCTAACTTGTCCAAGGACATACAGCTAATGGAAGAAGGGTGGTAATTCAACTCAGGTTCATGGCTCTAGACACTTTGAACGTCATTCCCTTCTACTTTGCTCACTCCTCTGCTCTATTTAAGTTGATCTCTTTCCATTCTCTAAATAGGCAACAAATAACCCTATTCTTGCTTCTACATACTTTCTCAAGCCATCCCTTTAGCAAGGAATGTCATCACATTTCTCTACTGAATCATAATCCCAATGGTTGTCATTTACTGAGCACTTACTACATGTTGAGGCAGGAGAAAGAATTTAGATGATGGTACACTGGTTCTTAAATATTTTGGCCTATGAGTGACACACATTGGTGTCATTCACATTTCAGTGGTTAGAACTCATCAGTGGCACACCTGAGTGCAAAGTGGCTGGGAAACCAAGTTATCCCACGTGCCCAGGAAGGAGAGTAGAACCAGATGAGAGAGAGCACGAGAAGACCCTGTAAAGAAGCCAAAGCCAATGTTTGTCTTACAGAC